AAAAAGATGTGCCAGCAATTATGATTGGAACTTGGAAATTGTCAAGAAACATTACCAATGGTGTTAATAGACCACTATCATGTCCTCTAGAGTTGGCAAAGCGTGGGTAGAAAAGTGTTGAAGCTGCACTAGCCTCATCAATGGCAAATACAACTCGTTTGTTATATCCTTTCTGTTGTATAATAATTAAATTATTCATGATTAATGGAATATCTACAATGCAAAAACAAAGACATTAATAGATCATTTACCAAGTAATAATCCTCAAAACTGATTCTAATTCAGCAGTTTTAAAGGATTTTAAATACGTTTTAATCATTGCAATGCATGTTTGCCCACCACCAATCTGCGCGAGAAGATGGTCGCGTGGTGTAAGACCTTCATTCCTTTCAAGAAGGAGGATAAGATAAAAAACTCGTGCAGTAAATTCTAAAGCAATGAGGCACTTTGCTTTCGATCTAAATTCATTCTCAGATAGAGATAGAATTTCAGTTATTCTTTCGTCAAGTTCTGCGAAGTTAATATCATGTGTTGGATCTAAAAAGGCTCTATCTTCATCCATTGATCCTCGACACTCCATATATATTACGAAGAACTTGTTGTGCATGGCCATTTCGAAAATGGATCTTGTCTTTCCAGCACCGGAAACTGCATAAAGCAGATGGAAAGCTGTCTCATTATTTTCAAATAATTTGATAAGCTTATTACCCATTGCAGTAGATAACGTTTCATCCAAGCGCATGTCTGGTAAGTTTCCACCACTGATTGGTATGCAGGATCTATCTTTAGAGAAACGGCCAGCAATATCTTTTGCAGTTTTGGGATAAAGTTTTGGGGGAGAAGCAATAGTGACATGATTTTTAATGTCTGCAATCAAATCTTTAAATTCATCAAAATTAATGACAGATCTTAATCGCTTTTTTGATTCAATGGGTTCTATAGTTTGAAAAAGATGAATGTCATTGACCGTTAGTAATGAAAGTGATATTTGAGCGATTTTTTAGTGGCAAAAATAGACCTGGATCTGCGGATCGTTTTTTTCCAGTAGCTAATAACAATTAAAAAACCAAATCAATATTTTGTTATTGCGAATTTCTTGTTCGAAAAGTAAACCATTGGGAGACACTTTACCAGTTATGATGATATGGATTTTCCCCTCTGGAAGTTGACCATTAAAATAGTTTCTAAACAGATATTGAGGACTCATTTTTTTTCCTCCAAGTTTTCGTACAATATCGTCTTCAGTAAAAACATCAACAACTTCTTCAACATCAACATACCAAAGATTCAGTTTGGAAGCGTCATTAGTAAGGTCTTTAAGAATATTATTTTCCCGTTCCCAGATATACTTCTTGAGGATATCGAAAGTTAACGATTTTGTGAGGTACTTAACTTTACTAATAAAAACTTCGTCGCTTAAAGGGATTGAGAAAATAGTTTCAGTACCTAGGACGAAACAATTTATTAACATTTTGATTTTGTATCTGCAAACGCGAAAATCGAGGGTTAGAAACAAAGTTCAAAAAAGTAATCACACAAATAAAACATTTTGGATATGACGTTAAACCTGGAATTTTCCTCGAATCTAGTTTGTACCCAGAACGTCATCGTACCCAGAATGGCAAAAGTACTCGAGATAGCGTTGACATTTTGATTATGTGTCATATATATATATTTTCATAAATGGTTGTTGAATAATTACTACAAGCTGTGAGTCAGCTACCGACGAACTGTGAGTCAAGGATCAAATACAATTAATGAAAAAATTTATCAATTGAAAACCAGCTTTGTGTAATTTTTGTGTTGTGGTTTTCTTTAGAATATAATTTAATTAATTATGTTTAATACCTTTTAAAGATGGATTACTATAACTTTAGAATTAATTATATTATTTATTATGTTTCGTACCTTTTAAAGATGGATTTCTGAATAACTAATACTTATATCAGATATTGTTTTTCGTGAAATCGCAATCGTCTCCTGAAATTTGGAAGATCAATTGCTGACTGTCCGATTTTTTATAAATACCTGCCAGTTTACCGTCTAATATCTTAGTGAGATGTCGCAGGTCTTTGAGACGAGCTGCGCCACGAACAAGAAGTGGTCGATAGAATATCAACGTAGTTGGCTTCGATAGATTTTAGCGTATAGATAGATACAGAAATTTCTCTGACGTGACACACGTACTATTATTAATAAAAATTGAATCTATCTTCTCTTGCTAAGAGCTTAAGGCCAAACATTTACGAAAAAGTTTTCATTGCTTAATAAACATGTTGAGGGGAATATTGAAATATGCTAACTTTTTTTTCTTTAGGTACAAGCGCCAAGCCCGGATCTTAACATTTTTTCTTCCGAGAGAAAGAAATGATACCATTTATATTTCGAATCAGAAAGTTCCTTCCAACTGTATTAGCGTTAATAAATAAGTTTTCCATCAAAATACAGTATATAAAGGACCATAGATCCGCTTTTGCTTTAAAAAATTCAATAAATTGGTGTAAAGTCTAAAAGACAATAAAATATTGCGAACCACTACTTTTTATCATAACAATATGAACGGGCGGGATATATTTTTGTTATTACTTCATTACTTTTCATTTACGCCGTTGCATTTCATGAGATGCTATCCCGAAATATCCTACAAAGGATATGCTCCAGAGTGTTTTTTCAGGAAACGTATTATTATACGTAGTTCTAGCATAATTCAACTTTTTTTTTATATTTACTAACTGTTTATTTTTCTTCATTTTTTAGGCGGTTTTTCGAGTCTCTCTGGACGTGGGACTGGTAAGTAAAAAAGAAATTTTTTTTTTCGATTTTTTTTTATATTAATGAACATTATTAATTTCTTTTTTTTAGGCGATTTTGAACCTCTCTTAATGTGGGACCAATGAGTAAGAAAATTAAATTTTTTTTTTTGATTTTTTATATTAACAGTTAACGAACTGTTTGTTTTGTTTTCTTTTTTTATGCAATTTTTTCAAGTCTTTCCGGATGTAAAGTACCGGTAAGTAAAAAAATTTTTTTCTTTGTTTATTTTAACGAACATTGCTAATTATTCGTTTTTTCTTTTTTAGGCATTTTTTTTTTTTTTGACGTGGAATACCAAGATACCAGAAAGTTTCATAAAAAAAAATTGTTTCGATTTTTTTATTTTAACGAACAATACTAAATGTTCGTTTTTTTTCTTTTTTAAGTGTTTTTTTCGACGTGGGATACCGGTAAGTAATAAAAAAGAGAAGTTATTTTGGATTTTTTTTCATATTAACATTAACGAGCATTACTAACTGCTCATTTTCTTTTTTTTTAGTTTTTTTTTTTGAGTCTCTCTAGACGTAAAATACTTACAGAATAACGGTAAAGGAAAAAAGATAACGAAGATGCCATCTTTCGGATTAATTTCGCACTACAAGTTGTTTCAACAAGTGTATTGAAACAAAAAAAATTCAACCTTTTCTTTTCTTTAGACGGGAAGGGTAATTGGACGCGTTAGAAACTGGTGGGAGAATTATTTAAATTTTTATTTTACTGCAGTGAAATATCTACTAACATTTTGATTTTTTCTTTTTAGACAGTCATTTCTTCTGATTTCTTTAGAAACGTGAGAACTCGGTGAGTGAAGTCTTCTTGATTATTTATTTTAATGAAACGTTTATCAACGTTTCAATCTTTTTCTTTTTTTTTTTTAGATGGGTAGATTTCGATAGGGGAAACGATAATTCTATTTATTTTTTGAAGTGTCGCAATATTTATCAACTGAAAGCAAAAACATTGAATACTTTCAATATGATTAAATCAATATACACACAAATAAACAAGATTGAACATCGAAAACACCATTGAATCTTATCAAAAAAAATGGATTTAAAATGAACTGGGTATCGATTAGAGAGGAAATAATTTAACTTTATTTATTAGGCGTCTTTGTATTTTATATTTAAATTGTTGTTTTATTTTTATTAACTGGAGAAATACATAATATATACAATAATATTATAAAGAGAAATCAAGTTGAAGTTAACTATTGAAAATTAAATAAATTTATAATATACTAATTATATTCACACTAGTATAAACAAATAGTATAAACAAATAGTATGAAAAAATGTTAAATATCAAAAACTACAAAATAACGATCCATATTATTTATATAAAAAATTTACGATTAAATCACAAACAGCAAATTAAATTGCTCTGATATCCAACAATGATTTGTTTTTTCTCTCGTTTAAGGTTTATTGAAAGCAGTTAATTTTCTTGTATAACACAAATTCTAAAAATCAATAAACTCAATTGTCAAACTATAAATTTTATAAGCTGTCAACTTTATTAGATCATCAAATATATATCATTTTTCATTAATAAAAAAAAAATTAAGAAAACATAAGAAAAAAGTTAAGTTGAATAAATTTAAAAAATAAATTTTATTCCATTAATTTATTGTATTTTTTCGCAGACATTATTGCAAATCATTTTTCGTAATTTTTTTTTTTTTTTTTTTTTTTAATAGTAACGCGCTCTTTATTAATTATTATTGATCCTAAGATCATAATTAAGTACAAAAGCACCTAGAGTTTAGAAAGAAAATTCTTTCTACCCCCTATAACTAAGTTATCGAAACAAAAAAAAAATTTACAAATTTAAGATCTATCTAAATATTTTGTGTATGATCTAAAATTTTTGTTAATACTACACTACTATTCTAAGTTTTACTATGTTTTTTGATTTTTAATATCTTTTATGTTTGAGGCTTTGCTAATTTTACTAAAAAAAAAACTAAACTAAATTGAAAACTAAAACAAAATTAAATGAAATAAAAAATTTTTTATAAATTCGAAAACATTAAGAAAAAATTCTAAAACACTACACTTTTGATGGAAATACCCAATATGTTAGTCCAAAATCTTTTTTTGTCCAAGTAATTTTCGGTCAGATCCAAGCGTTGGCCAAGAATTTATCCCCAAATTTGTAAAAGCAAACTTACAGGACAAATTTGTTTATTCATTATCCGAATCTTCCCTTTGTCCCTGCGTTGTCACTACGCGTTTCTTATTCGTGTTAATTTCGTCTTTGCCTTCAACAGTTTTCCCTTCTTCTTTCTTCTCCGTAGGCAAGCTTGTCTTCTTATTCACAACATATAGTCTTTCGCTAAAATATTCGTTTAGTTTATCGAGCTCTTCATGTTCTTCTTGGGTTCTTGGTATTGTTGAAATAGGATCGGATCTGGCGTCAACAAATTTGTCCTCCGATTTGGATGGTATTGGCACCTTGAATTTGTTTAATCCTATTCTCTTTCTATACAAACCCTCTTCGTCTATTAGCTCGTCTTGACTTTTTATTTGAAGTCCTTTCCCCATTTCTTCTTCCATTGTGGATTTATAGATTGCCTTTAATAAATCGCTTTCGTTGTTATCATTTTTCGTAATTTGATTTGGGAAATGTGATATATATCATCGGGATAATATCATGTCAAAAAAAATTGATTTTCAGGAAAATATCTATCAGGGAATTTGTCTTTATTGGGAAGTGATTTGTTTGGGGAAAGGTTACATCGGGAAAATGGATGTTCTGACAATGATAAAAAAAAGGTTACATGTTTGTAACTTCGTCATATATTTTAACAATAGACGAAATATATTAATTAAATTCTGGCAAAAAGAAAGCATCAATTATAAAAACTATAAAAATCTCTTTTGAAATTACCCGTAATTTTAAATTCTAATTCTAATACCAGTATAGAATATAGTCACATCATGATTAAAGTTTTATTAAAAAGACTATGTAAGTTTAATGAGAAATTTTCATTTTATGTAAAAATAAAATAATTACAAATTTTTTTTTTTTTTTTTAATAATATTAACGTCATAACATGATTGGACTACTGACGATTGCATATCTGAAAATATTACCTCTCTTTTCACATGAAATTGTTATGAAAATGTAACAGTTAACGAGCAACATTAATTCATCTGTTCATAGACCTTGAATCTTTTACATTTAATTTATAAATTTCACAGAGTGTTAAAATGAATTACGAAATAAGTTATAAATTATCCGCCCCTTGAAATAAATAGATCAGCAGTATAAACGTTTTAATTGTAGGAACCAAAATAAAGCGCCTTTATTGTAAAATTCTGTAATACAATCATTTTATAATAATATCTGAACTAGCAATTAATCCTTTGATTAATGTTGATTTCATTAATCGACTTCTTTGCATGAAGTAATAATATTTCCCTTAAGTTTCACAGGAGTAAGAAAAAAGAAGCCTAATAAAGTTTAAATTTGTTTAATTAATTAAAGCTTTCATTAAAATACTGTACATAACGTTTGAGAATAAGTCGTAAATAAATACCTCCAAAATTAATTCTTGAGCAAAATCCAAAAATAATTCATTTAATAAGGGGAAGTAAAAAACTTATCAGATCCATCAATAAACTTTATCATTTTATTATAATCATGAAGTCTAATTCTCTTTTCTTCTTAACCATTTCAATCACCTTCAGCCTAATAGCTTTTATATCATTCATTGTAGGTAAGTTTTTGAATAATTATAGCAGTAATCCTCTCAATATTATTATGCACACTAATTGTATTGTAATTATTGTAATATATAAGGTAAAACTGTATGGATTTATAACCATATGGGCTGATTTATGGAATTAAGTTTTAATATTCAAAAAACTAACTTTATTAAGCAAATGCAAATACAAGTTACATGATGATAGATTCACACCAGCTGACATAAATAAAATTGATTTAATTATATTATTTTTTGATTTTTTTAATAATATCATTAAAATTAAAAAATTTAAATATAATTGTCATGACAAAATATTGAATAACTTAACGTGTATGTGTGCTAGACGAATGAATTTATATTCATTAGAAAGAGGTAATCATGAGCTATCCATAAAACAAATATCGCATGAATTGAATCACAAGTTGCTGAATAATTACGTTCAATATATTTATTTTTAACTTTTGACTTTGATCGTTAATATCTTCACATCTAGTTATTCGATTTGAATGATCATTTTCGTTCAGATAGAGTAGGTTCTGGGCTTTCATATGAATATAAATATATGTGTTTAGCATGCATGTATGCCGAGATATTAACGATTTTGTTAATTGAATAAAACTCCGACACAAAAATTTTTAAAATTATAATTCTTACAGTATTCTTACCAAAAGATGATCTTTACAGGTATTATTGAGCTCTTTTTACTTTACTTAACAAGGTTTTGTTTGCTATTTCTGTTTTAAATTGAATAAATTAAGTAATTAACAAGTAGAATAAAATCAGTATAGTAAAAACAAAAAAAAACATCTCAAAAACTCTAAATCATAACTCACATTTTTATTTTTTATATATTTTTACTAAAAAAAAGAAGGAACTAAGGTTAAAAATAAATGAAAAAAGATTTTTCTTATTAATATAAATTATTAATATTTGTTTTCTTACTTACTGATTAAAAAAAACCTGCTATATATGCCTATGAACTTTTCTAAGTCACCCAACAAAAATCTGATTGAAAAGTGATTGAAAAAGAAAGTAGTTGCCATTGTTATTTTTGAATAAACGTTAAAAAATTTTTTTTTATTTTTTGATAGATTTAGATCATCTGATTATGTAACACATAATTTAAGCTTGTGAAACATAATTCTTGTTAAAATGTGCAAATCTTTATGAAAATCTTAATTTTTGGCTAATTCCACGAATTGGCGGAAATGCAAATTGGATTAAGGTACAATTGCATTGGTTGCTGCCATCAAATTTTTTAGGAAGTGGCAATTATGATTGGGAAGCTGGTTTCTGTGCAATCACTAGGGAATTGTTCAGTTTCTCATCACGGCTTCTACTTGAATATACCCGATAATAAAAATATAACAACTTATTACCTTGTTATGAATAAAAAAACGTAAAAAAGTAAATTACCAGAGGGCAGACCATCGATTTACTTTATATTATTTCTTTGATTTATAAAAATAATTTTTTTTACTAAAAAAGTAGGGCAGACAATATGTATATACATATACTATGCTTAAAATATTTTGCATTGTTGTTTGAAATCTATAAAGATTTAAATTGAATGGCATTTAACTTGAAGAACAGTTAAAATATACTTTCCCGTTAGATAAACTGAATTTTCTTTGAATTTCTGCGCCATCTGATACACATTTCAAACGTAACGCCACAATAAAAGTAATTTAAGTCGCAAATAATAAAAAACAAGTTTATTTGTAATATAAATAATATAAATTAAAGAATATCTAAATAAAATATATAATAATATGATAAAGAGAGAAATTTAAAAAATATACATATATATACGCCAAAAATATAATTAAAGATAATTTAGAACTACATTTAAAGCATGCATGATTTAATCAATTATTTGACTCCCTTCAATATTTAAGTTCTTGAGAAAACTCCACCTGTTGTTGTTCATTAAGGTTTAATTCGTTGCCATAATTAATTTTGTTTAACATACGAACAATATAATCATTTGAGACTATTTCACAAATAACTTTATAGATTTTCTTATCGTCAGGATGCTGATAATAAAATAAATGTGAATTATTTAATTGAACATTATTGTGAGTCAAGTAATTGTTATTAGTTAAAAGGCGAGAAATCATCTCAAATGGAATTTCTTTACAAGCGATATGATAAATTTGAAAATCGTTGTGTGGTTTATAAAAGAAAAAGTATTCAGCCATAACAACATTATCCTGAGTCTGATGGAGATTAATGGATGAGAGCTCGATGACATTGAATATCTTGAATGGATTGACTAACAGTCATCGGTTGCATATTGCGAGAGTTTTGTTGAATGATATGTTTATTAAAAATTAAAATTCATATTTCAAAAATTTTGATTGATACAGACTGCAATAGTAATTTATTATTTAATATATTGATCGTGTAAATAACGATGTGTAATAAAGTAAGAGAGAAATTTTATGTTTATATTATAAAAAAGGGAACCTGATCTGAAAAAAAATGCCAGTTAATAACTAAAGGTTGTAGTACAGCTAAAAAATGATAAGTTCTTAATTTTATGATATATACGGGAATAGGAATTTTTTCGTGAAATTTTATTCGAAATATCCTTCAATCTCCGCGTTTATAAGATCAAATTTCAGAGTCACATGATTGTTGATGACGACACTTTTGTTTTAAGTGGCGCAGCTTTTCATTTGAAACTTTTGATTGGTTATATTTTTTTGACAGGATTTTATTATAGATCACCAATATTTAAGTAAAAAAAAAAAAAAATTTTTTTTTTCGATGAAATGAAACGGAACTTACTATTTATGATACTTTATCCACGAATAATTCATAATGTATAACTGATAATGATTAAACTTTATAATATTCTAAAAAAAAGTGATGAAACAAACACATTGTTTGTAATACTGAAATGAAAAATAAACATTTTTTCTCTTGGAAATGATGTGTCACGTGTATGTGATCTTTCTTTTTTTTACCGAAAATAGATTTCATTGTTCAGTTTCTGAAAACAAACTCATACATAATACTGTACAATGAAAAACTAAAAATGAAAATCTAAAAACAGTTAGAAAATTAAACAATAAAACAAACAACGCTTGGGTAAATTATCATGATAATAATAATGCTCCTTGAGTGCCAACATAAAACGTATATAAATATACCATATTCTCCCTTTTTTTTCGCTACATTTTCCAAAAAATTTTCTTTTCTTTTTTTTAATCAATTTTATATCAGCCTAGGCTTATTTTTTTATTCTTGTTTCCATAATTTGATAATTTATTTAGAAAAATGAATACAAATAACCAAGCTTCTCAAGATTATTCTGATTTACCAATGTATCAGACTGGAAATAATTTCGCACCTTCACATTTTCTTGATAATAATAACAATGACCAACAAACTCCTATTAATAATAACGTAGGAATGTCCAATACCAATACTATAACTCCCATCCTTCAAAGCGATACATTTGAATTTTACTTTCCTTTACAAAACGATGCACGCATTTATTACGTTACATATACCGAATTACATCAATTTGAAATTGCGCGACTCTTGAATAATGGAATAAATTTATCTCGTATTCCTGACCATCAGTTTCCACATCATTATAATATTCAATCTTTAATTCAACAACAGATTCAGCAACAAGTCCAACAACCCGTTTATCAACAAAATAGTGTTCAACAACAATCCTTTGATACTATTATTCAACCTACTTACCAAGTATATTCAGATAATAATAACACTTACAATAATGCTTCAAATTCAGTAAACGGAACTATTCCTGATAATATTCAAGATGCAGGATTTCAGAATTCTCCGTGAGGATCAGATTTGATTAATGTATATTTTAAGGAGAAATAAATGTTTATTGTTTGACCATTAACTAAGTTGTTAAATTGAGCTTATATTATTTAAAATATTAAATCAAAATTACTAGGATGTTCCTTTTAAAATATAAGTTATTAGATTAATAGGGATTGGGAAATTTTATTTGATTTGAAAATGAACAAAATGTTAAAGTTATAATTTTTTATTTTTTTTGACCAAATTTATCTATTTTATTATATATATTATTCATTTATTATTACGTATTTTGTATCAATGATTTAAACTGAAATAAAGATTTAAGATTTTTTTTTTTAAAAAAAAAATATAGATGACAATCATGAGGCTGCCAGCGTCTCTTCGATGACTTGTTACAGATTGATGAAGAAGCTGTTATAAAAATACGAAAAAACTTGCATCAGAGGCCACTAGTGTTTCTCCTGAACAAACCAAAGTTGAGGATACTGCACCCACCTTCGTATCAATTGATGAACTAGCAAACTAGTTAGCGGGACCGGCACCACCAGTTACTGCGGAGCCGAACTTTTAATCCATCCTAAATAAACTGTGACCAGCCTTATACCAAATTCACTAAATGATAAATTTCTTTGATTTAAACGTTACTTAATTGCGTAATGTTTTGCATGTGTAATTCCACTGTATTACTATCTATTTAACCACATTTTAATTGAGATAGATTCACACCACGCTATAGCACCCGAAAAAAATCCCATATTTAGAAAGGAGAGTGAAATATATTCGTAACTTAACATTCCGTCAAGAAAATGACTTGTAATGCTAGAAATAGTTCAGACTTATCATTTACTCGCAATTTATGTTATCGTTATATGTTTGAACCCAACAAAAAAACTCAGTTCGCTATGCTCATTCCTGATTTATTAAAGGAATGGTATGAATTAGTACAATAATAATATTGATGATGATGTACTAAGATACAGTATAAGAAAATATTAATTTAACTTCGTCTACTTTTTTTTTTTAGCAAAGTGAATTGAAAACTTGCAGGGGAAAATAATGTGAAAAAGCAATATGTGATTCTGGCCGGAATTATCGTATAAATTTCCTTATTTGGAATTAAAATCTTTTGGAGTTCTGGGATTATAACAAATGGGATGGGATATGGGATTTTTCCAATGGAGCAAAGCGAGACGAAAATGTAAAATTTATTTATCCCATGCAAAACTTTTGTGATTTCCTTTTTGAACCCCTGAAATATTCTTACAAAAATTACGGGTCACATGTATACTGCGGCCTTCAGTTGCGTTTTCCTTAGTGAAATTGTTAATTATGGGATGCAATATTATATTTTAAAGTGTACAAAAAATTTAAATTTTAAGTTTCTTTGGTTACTTCTAAAGTTTCTTCGTTATATGTTTCCAGTTTTTCTAAGCCCTTTAAATCTTCACTTAAATAGTTCATTAACCTATTTTTTTTCATATAGAAAGCTGTAGTTTTGTTTATTTGAATATATCTAATATCATATTTTTTAATAAAATTTTTAAATTCATTGATTGCAAAAATTTTCCTGTTGTGTCATTTTTTATTTTTGAAATTAAAAAAAAAAAGAAAATGTTGGCTGTGTTGCTCATTTTTAAGGTAATGACCAGGGCCACTCCAGGAGTAGCTCTAATCATTACCTTATCAGTTACATATTTATAATGACGTTAAACTATAATAGGGAACTGCGGACCGCAGATTGCGGTCCGCAATGACGTATTTATTTTATTGGCTTATTTTATTAGTTTATTTTTATTGGTTTATTTTTAATTTTTTTTAAAAAAAAAATTCGGTTTTTTTTTTAAAAAAATATTTTGATAGGCTTTTTTTTTTTGTTGAGAAAAGGAGAGCTCTTGAAATTTTTTTATTTTTAACATTTAACTCGGGACTTGTTATAAATTTATTTCATATATTAAATAAGGGATTATTTTTGTAGACCTGATGTGGCAAACGTTTTCATGATTGGGACAAGTCCTAACATTGGTTAATGTATTTTCTACGACTACGATTTTTGTTCTTTTTAAAATTAATTAACATTTAATGATACATTTTTTTAGGTAATTTTAATATATTTAATAATGTTCATATCATGTTTAGTAAGTTTATTATATTTAGTGTCCATTTTTTTTAAAAAACAAAAAAACTAAAACGCTAAAACCGTAAAACGCTCTCATTATAAATAAAAAAAACGTAAAAAAGTAAATGATCAGAGAGTAGACTATTGATAGTCTACTCTCAGATCATTTACTTTTATATTATTTCTTTGTATTTTTTTTTAGTAAATGATTATATATATACAGTATATATATAAACTATGCTTAAAATATTTCGGATTGTTGTTTGAAATCTATAAAAATTATGATTATATAATTTTCCTTATTAAATTGAATGGCATTTAGCTTGCAGAGCAGTTAAAAATACACTTTCACCATTAATTTTCTACGCCATCTGATACACATGTCAATTTAAATCGCAAATAATAAAAACAAGTTTATTTATAATATAAATTCAAGAATATCTAAATAAAATATATAATATAATACGATAAAGAGAGAAATTTAAAAAATATACATATATATACGCCAAAAATATAATTAAATATTGAAGGAGGTCAAATAATTGATTAAATCATGCTTTAAATGTAGTTCTAAATTATCTTTAAGTTCTTGAGAAAACTCCACTTGTTGTTGTTCGTTAAGGTTTAATTCGTTTTCATAATTAATTTTGTTTAACATACGAACAATATAATCATATGAGACTATTTCACAAATAACTTTATAAATTTTCTTATCGCCAGGATGTTGATAATAAAATAAATGTGAATTATTTGATTGAACATTATTATGAATCAAATAATTATTATTAGTTAAAAGGCGAGAAATCATCTCAAATGGAATTTCTTTACAAGTGATATGATAAATTTGAAAATCGTTGTGTGGTTTATAAAAGAAAAAGTATTCAACCATAACAACATTATCCTGAGGCTGAGGGAGGTTAATGGATGGAGAGTTTTGTTGAATATGTTGACTATTATTAAAATTAAAATTCATATTAAATGTTCGTATTGTTATGGGAAAGGAGTTTTGTGTTGTATTATAACTGGTCTGAAGAGGTTGTAGTACAGATAAAAATGATAAGCTCTTAATTTTATCGATAAAATCCGATAAACGTATATGTATATATATGGGAATAAGAATTTTTTGAGAAAATATTTGATTTCTAAATTTCTTGTCAATATTTTTGCGTTTATATAAAAAATTCGAGAATAATTTCTCCGAGTCTTCAAGCAAAATTGTCCTATATGTAAGAGTCGCCAATACAGTATTTAAAAGTTTTTTTTTTTTATAAGATACAGTTAAAGTTTTTTTTTTAAAAAAAATAAAATAAAATAAATAAAAAAAAAAAANTTTTTTTTTTTGCGGATAAGATATCTGCAGATAAGATATTTGCAGATAAGATATTTGCATTTGAAAATCGTTTGGTCAAACTTTTCTGACCAGAAAAGAAAAGACTAAATGAATAAAAAAGTGGAAATGGCGCCAAAGTTTTGAAAATTTTTTTTTTTCTTTTTAATCAGTAATCACAATATTTTCTTTTTTTGGTTCCTATTCATAAATCATAATGCATAATTCGTTTTAGAAATTGTACAATGATTAAAATGATTAAAATTTTCAATTTTTTTTAAAAAATGGGAAAATTAATTTATAAAACAAACGAATTGTACTATATAATACGGAAAATGTTTTTTTCTCTTGAGAACAAAAAAAAAAAAAATTAAATAATATTAATTTTTAATTTTTTTTCGTGATTATAATAATAATAAGATTATTATTTCAATCGAAAATAGCCGGAATAATAGAAAATTCTCACGCAAAAATAAAACAAAAATTATTATTACATGAGTGAAGACATTTTTAGTAATCTATTAATGTAATGCATAATAAATATCACGCGGTTAAAAAATTTAGAAACGTTATCGAACGTTATCGATATATTTATTATTTATTTATTTATTTTTTTCATCGTTTCACTTAAGTTTGCAGAATTTGAATGAGGACCATAAATAAACTTTTAAAAAATGAATGCAAGAATATAATTTTACCAAATAAGTAATGGGAGCTCAAGCATGGTCTCGGCAATGTGCACATTGTGCATATAAAAAGTTAAACTACTAAAATTCCAATTTTGGAATTACTTGACTCGGTTCTTTCTTTCTCAGAGCAAAATGTCTCAGGTTCCCGCCTAATAAACTTTTTTTTTTCTTTGGCGTTCTTACTTACATTACATTTAAACTAATCTTATTATTCTCTAGCATTTTCTTGGTTAACAATATATTATTATAACGATAGAAAAATTGCACGTTTTATTCATCTTATTATAATTATGATTTTTAATATTTGTTTAGCGTTTCATATTATCAATAGATCAATTAGTAATTCAAGTTATGATAATATATGGCTGAACTTATTTTTTTCGCCAACGTACCTTTTTGATGTGGTTATAATAGTATTATTTATCGGTATTTTTCTTTGATTATATGAAATAAATTGATTGATTTTCAATAGAATAATATAAAATCCACTTTTAAAAGAATAAATTGTTCCGCAGCAAAAAATACCGATGATTTTAATGCAAGTAAATTATTTTAAAATAGATTTTTGGCGGGAATAAACTAAATAATCTCGTGGGATGGTAAAACTCCGATTTTCAAGCAAAAAAATACCCACGCATTCTATTATAATATAGTTGTACTAGTACTACATTCTATAATTACTATACTATATATTCATCCTACTTTAAAATGCGATAGAAGGTTAACAAGAATCTTTGTGGTACAATAGTATTACTACAATAATGATCATGACGATGTTAGGATAACTAATTTTTGAGGTCTACTTATTCCGCCTTGTTTTACTAAGCATTATTTGGAAATTATAAAATATGTAAGTTAAAAATTTTATTGAGGGAAAAAAAAAAAAAATTTTTTTTTTTTTTTTAATATAAATAAATTTTATATACTGTATTTATGAATAAGAATATTTTTTAATTTAAAAAATTGATACGCCATAGTCGCCATACAGTACTGCAAAATTAAGATAAAAAAAAAATGCATGTGATTATGCAAAAAATGCATGTATAAACGCCATTACGAGAAAATCTTGTGTGACTGTTACGAACTATATTATCATATGATTTTCATAATGGCGAATCGTCATAAAAATTTAATTCTCCGTTTCTTCGTTCTTTTATGCAGATTTAAATCAATTTATCAGCAGATTATACATAATATTAAATTACGTGTGCCCATTTACCCTTTTTATAAATATAAATATATATATATAATACTGGGCAATGTTGGGTAAATTTAAAACCCTTGGAAAAAAATACTTTTCGTTTTACCGCTTTCTTTTATGCAGCTTTTAAATCAATTTATTATACATAATATGTCTTTAAATTATGTGCGCCGTAATTACGATAATTACGTGTACTATAATTACGTGTACTATAATTACGTGTACTTTTTATCTTCTTTTTTCTCTTTTATACAATGATGGAAAATGTTGGGTAATGTTAAACTTCTTGGAAAAAAATTACTTTTCGTTTTATCGATTGATTATGAGATCTTCGAGTCATTGCATGGAATGTTCTATTTTTCTTAACAAAATGTTTAACCAAAAAGGAAAATTCTTTTTTTTTTTTCTCGGATTAGTATTTTTTTTTTTTTTTCATCTCTTGATTACATGAAAATGAATTATAATTTTTAGTATTATAGTCCGTAAAATAATAATAAAAAAATTTTGTTTTTCGTATAAAGTAATTTTATTCATGATAGTGGAGTATCATGGATGTTACACACCGGAAAATTTAATGATTACGGAATACGGATTAACGTTGCTCCATCAATAAATCTGGAAAATTATTTATTTTTAGAACATTTGATAGCAAGATCGAAACCATAAAAATTTTTTCATACTCCTTTACACTCCAAAAAAAAATACAATTTTTTGTATAGACATGACCCTATAAAATGAAATATATTAAAACAAAGTTTTTTTAAAAAATTTCTTATTAAAGTAAAATAAAAAAAAAAAATCTCTTATTAAAGTAACTAGCTATGAAAGATTATCTGTAACCTCATTTGCGATAATCATACATTGTCGTATGAACCGGAAATGGTTTGGTTAAACTGGGACCCGGGTTATTATTATGTAGATGCTTTGATCCGGATTGATCCGTTGATTAGCATTCACAACATTTTTCTATTATTTTTGTCAAACTATAATTTTTGTCAGATTTAAAAAAATTATTCTTCCACAAATTTTATTAATTCTGGCCAAACTTATAGCTCCAACTCAAATAAACCGATGCCAAACCGTAGTAAACCGCGGATCGATCCGTTAAAAACCCATCCGGATCGAAGCACTATTTATGACCAAGGAATCTAATTTAATTTATTTTTAATATATGCAGGTTACATGCATCTAATTTTAGTATTCTCAATAGTCTTATTGGTAATTGTAAATTAGTTAAAGTATTTTTTCAAGAAAATAATTACAGTACTATTATTTTTTTTGCATCACTAAATTATCGGGCAGTCCGATGACTATAACAGGACCCCGAAATATATATGTAGGGGTAAGGTGCATAATTGCGTCGCCATCATAGAGAAATTTTACAGGGTTAAGTATTGATTTGCGTATAACCTGAGGATTTTTTAGCCACGGTCAGACCATTAAAATTCGTATTTTTAACAGGTTTTTGTTTAAGTAAGGGGTTTATTTTGCGTATTTTTAGTAAATTTTGGGTGATCATATATATATATATATATATTTCACGAGATAAATAATTAAAAATAAACATAAACAGCTATTTAGTAAATTTAGTAAAAAAAATGTAACACTTGTTTATATATTTTCACGAGATAAATAATTAAAAATAAACATAACAACTATTTAGAACTATTTAGTAAAAAATATGTAACGCTTGTAACATGTTGATCTAACGATTTATGCAAGATATATCTAAGATATATCTTGCATTATAAATAAAAAATTTTTTCACGTTAATATATTTTTTTTTTTATTAAAAAATATGTCGGGTTGGAAATATAGCTTTGAGAGGCTTTCAAAACATGAATATGTTGCTTGTATTATACATCCCAAGAAAGTAGTATATATTTGTGGTCAAAAAATAAAACTCAACCGTAAATGGGAGAAGGATTATCTTAACCGTCATATTCAACGTTCTGGATGTAAGGCAGATAAAGGGCAAAGGACAATCTATAACTGGTTTAAGCCAATAGAAGTAAAACCAGTAAAACAAGTTGAAGAAGAAGAAGAGGAATATGATTCTGATGTGTACGATAATATGGATGATGATGATCTTATACGAGTTGATGAAGTAAATGAAAATGATCAAAATCAAGAAATTTTAGCAATTAATATTGAAGAGACATCAGATAATACAAGGAATACTAAAAAACAAAAGTTAATTTGTATGGGACTTCAGTCTGAAGAAATATCAAAGTATATTAAGCGAACTCCTGCACAGTTTGGTGGTAGTCGTCGTATTGAAGTAGTTGCACGCGAACTTTTTCCCAATTTATTTTCGCAAAAATTCAGTAGAAAAAAGTTGAATTCTAAGCAAAAAAGACAATTAAATCATGCACTTTTTGCAGAATCCATATGGCAAATCGATCGACCAAGTATGTTTTAATACTTTATATTAAATTAAATCATAAAAATTCCACCAATTTTAAATTATATTCTAATAAATTATCCTTTTATTTATGATTCATTTAAAGGTAATGCAGTACGTGCAAAAGCTTGCACTGGAATTGCTGAACGTGGAAATATTTGTACTGAATGTTCTTATATTCGATACAACCAAGCTTTGTGCAATAAAATTGCTCGTCCTTTACCATTATCCAGCAATATTAAATTTACCCCAAAACATTATTGGGAAGATAATCCTTTAAAATGATGTTTAAAGAATTGTGACCTTCGTGACATCTGGAATATACTTAACAATGAATCTGAAAACCAACAAGAAAATCCCTGGATTGCTCTTGCTGACAAAGCTTTGAAAGGTGCCTTTAAAGATAAACCAATATTTACTGGTCTTTGTGAAGTTATGGGTGATGCAATTGAACGAAAAATGAAAAACAAATCCAAAAGAAACTTAAAGTATAGTGATGAATTCACTAGTTTTTTAACTATATTGGGAGGGATTAGTTCAAGAGCTTTGGATTTATTTCGTCAAAATTTAGAAGGTCGGACAATTCAGTCAATTCGGTATAATTATCTATTATTTTATACAAATGTTTTAAATTTTTAGTAATTAATAAAATTCATAATTTATTTAATTGTTATAGGCAATTAAGAAGAAATGATGATGATTATTTGACTAATCCAGAATTATGTTATGAAAATGTAGCTCGTGTTAAAAGATTAATTGATACAGTCAATTATAATGGACCAATTTGTGCAATGACTGATAACACGAAACTTAAGCCACGATTGCGATATTCTCCTAATCTTGGTTGTATTATTGGATCAACGTTATCAAATGAAGAAACAACAGTTAATATATATAATGATATTCCAAAAATAATTAATAATGTTAAATCAGAAAATGGAATTGCAAAAAATGTTCGTGCATATATATTACAAGTATGATATATTTTTTTATTTAAAAATTTTTGTAGCAATATATATCTTTTTTTTTGAAATATCGATGCATTAATCTTTAACAAATTGTATTTTATATATTAGATACCATTATCAAAATTTCCTCCAATAGTTATAGCCTTACTTCCAAATAAAGGGGCTGACACTGCAGATTTAATATTACAATTGCATAAACGATTAATTCTAGAAATCGCACCACAACTCAGTCTCCATATACTTTCCTTAGGTTCTGATGGGGCTATAACAGAATACCAAGCACAACAATTAATTGTCAATATTCAAACAAGTGAAAAATTAACGGTTATAGAACCTCAATTGAAAATTAACTTTTCATGTCCTATTTTTAACTATATTGGTCCTATTATACGTGTCCAAGATCCCAAGCATGCCAAAAAAACAGCAAGGAATGCTATAATGTCTGGAGCACGATTATTAACATTTGGAAATTCTTCAGCCCGGTATGATCACTTCTTACAACTTATTAATCAAAACAGTTCCATTTTGTATAAAAATGATGTCATTAAGTTAGATCGTCAAGATGATGCAGCAGCCTATCGAACATTTTGTTCTTCAAATTTTCGCCAATGTTTAACAACCGATTATCAGGTTAAAATTGGAATGGAGGGATTTGCAGTTTATATTTTTATAATAGGTAAAATATCAAGAATATTTATCTGTCATTAATTAATATTACTTTATAATGGCATAATGGTATAACTATGTTAATTACTTTTTATTTATAAAGGTGAAATAGTTGATAGTTACTTAAATCGTAATATTGCTCCACTTGAACGAATCAGAATGGTTATGACTGGCTATTTTTTCATCCAATTATGGCGTATTCATATAGAATTACTTTCTCAGAAATATCCTGACTTTATTTCATTACGCCAAAACTTTTTAGCAAATCAAACATTTGCAATTTTTACTTCTCTTTGTGAATCACTTGTTTTATTAGTTAAAGCTCATCGTGAATATTATTCGCAAATACCATTCTTACCCTGGTACCATGGATCTGAGCCTGTTGAACATTTTTTTGGTATTGCACGTCAACTAAATTCAGATTTTGACTTTGCAGATTTAATTCAAATGCTTCCCAAAATATCACAATATACCAAAGCTTTGAGATCAAAAAAGTTATTTTTTGATCAAGAAAAAACTGTTCGTCAAGGTAAGCATTACTTAAATCTTTTAATTATGCAATTTATTAATTAAATGGCTTATCTGTTATGATTTTTTTTTCATTATAGGTTATCATTTTGATTACAATTATGGAAATTTAGAAGAATCAACGTTAGAAATATTAAGGCTTTGGCCAACAGACGAACAAATTTCACAAACAATGAAGCATTCACATCATCTAGCTGTTGAACTAGCCGAATTTCTTGGAATGCTTCAACCTGCAGATATTTCTCCTGAATTGAATTCTTTACAAATATTAATTAGCATTCATGAAGAAGAAGTTTCAACATCCGATAGGAAAAACCAGAGTGAAAATGATAAAGAACAAGATGAAAATGATGAGACCGATTTTTCTGCAGCAATAACAGAAGCTTCACATGAAATGAGACGTATTTCAACAGAGGGAAATAATGAAGAGAATTTATCAAATTTATTCCAGGAAGGATGTTCGCAACTAACTCTAATTGATCAAGTTTCCGAAGATTTATCTACTTTATATAATGGAGATAGCAGTAAGTCATGTTTTAAAAACATACATCTATCAATAAAATTGTTACATTGTTTTCAGAAAAAAAAATTTTTAAAACTCTTAAATTATCATTTATTTTCATTCTTTATAATTAAATAATTTTTTATATACAGTTAATCTTGGATTTCAATATGGATCAGAAAATAACTTGGATTTTGAAATCTTACTACAGCAACGACAAAGGCATGAAGCTTACACTTCAAAACCACTTGAACGAAGATTCAGGACAGTTTCTAAAAGACCTGATACTTCGGCTAACATTCAGCCAAATAAAGCTAGCCATTTTGTTGCCTATTTTACCAAAAATGAAAATCCAGAGCAACGATTTGTTACCCAACGTGAAAAGCGATGGAAGGAAAATCGTAGAAATGTATCAATTACTTTAGCTCAGCTTCATGCTGAAGAATTGACTGCACAATTGAAAAAAAAGAAAAAAGTGACTAACAAAAAAGCACAACATTCTCATATTCAAAGTAAGTATCTCTTTATATATATACATCTTTATTATACAAATAAAATTACTAATTTTTAACTAATTTACTAAAAAAAGTCCCAAATATCGAAAATGCAAATATTTCAAAAGACTTTCCATTAATTAAGGGAGATTATGTATTTGTTATATATGGAGATCAAATGTGCGTGGGAAGGGTTATTGCGGTTTACTTTGAGGCTTATGGAAATCATTGCTATACCGAAGAAGCAATAACGGATTTGGATGATATATCTTATATATCTTTACATGTTTATATTCCAATCCATCGTTTGTTTAGTGATTTAACCAGAGAAGAATGTAATCTTTTAACACACCACCTTGCTTCTAATATTGTTTATCATATTGGACCAACTAATGTATTAATTGAAGAAAATGTATTGAAATTGCTAGGAAATGAAAAGCAGTATTATTATGATTACTTTGGTCGAAAGGATATAATTGAAAAAATACAATAGAAATACTTTTTACAATAAAATACAATAATACACATTATAAAATTTGTGACTTATAAAGTTAATTAATTTTTTTATTTAAAAATTTTTTTTCGATAAACGTAAAGTTTGATCAACAAAAACAATAGGTAAATCACATGATGATCGGAGGTCAGGAAATTAATTTGCGTATTTTTTCCGATTATCCAAAGTAAGGAGGTAATTTTGCGTACTGAACTTATAAAAAACCCTTGCGTACAGCTATTAGTAAAAAGTTCAGAAGTCACCTTACCTTTTTATATATATTTCGGGGTCCTACTATAACTGATCATTTTACGCTAAGATATTTACATCGTGTTTTTGGACAGCAATTAGACAATACTGTTTTATAATATTGTATGACCAAATAAATTTTAAAGGACTGTCCATGATTTCTACATTTTTATTAATATCATTATAGTAAATATGAAATGGAAATATCCATGCTGATCGAGATCGAAAAGAAAATAATTCGTTAGGTTTTCCAAGAAAATAAAAGAAAAATAGATTCAACCGCTGCAATTAGCGCAATATATCCAGAGGGATTCAATAAAGACAAATTAAATCTTTATATTTATTACATACTTTTTATTCATTCTATTATACTATTTATTATTATATATCCAATTATTCAGTAAACATTCTTTTTTATGAGTTAAATGTATTTTTTTATTATTAAAAAAGATGGTAAATCTGAATATAATGTAAATCAGATTATGATGAAATATATTATGTGATATTTGGGTTGTCATAAGTTTAATATAATTACTCATATCAGTCACATTTATAAAAGTTACTCATGTGAATAAAATTACTCATGCAAACAGTTATTTCTTATGTGAGTTTATTATACGGTAACATAAATAATATAATTATGTCACAAATACCTTTAGTTTTTAGGTTCTCTTCTCTTTTAAATAATCTTGAACATCATGGTTGAGGACCCCGAGCTATACATAGAAAGGTCAGGTCCTGGTTATTTGCTTAGAATGAGCCAAATCATGTAGATCGTTTCCATTTGTGGATAATGCCGACCAGAATTGCATAATGCCGGCCCTGAAGAAATGCGTAGAGCTAATAGTAAATGTGTGCCGATCCCTGACCTATATATTTATAACTCATGGTTGAGTAATATTCCCTTTTCTTTACATTTTCTTTTAGGTATGTAGGTTAGGAGTGTGGTAGTAGTGTGTATCTCTTGCTCTTTTCCCTTTATTTCCCTTTTCCCTATTCCCTTGTTCGCCTTTCTTTCCCGTTTCCTTTCCTTTCCCCTTTCTCTTATTTCTTCTTTCCCCTTTCCCTTTTCCTTCCCTTTCCCTCCCCTCATTTTCCCTCTTTACATTTCTTTTCCTTTCCCCTTCGCCTCTCTCATTTTCCCTTTCCTATTTCCCTTTCTCTCTTTCCTTCCCTGATCAATGTTGCTGCACCTCAACGTTGGTGATCAGTTGACAACAAGCTTTTTAAAGAATTGGCTGAGTCAGTAACAATTTGCTCACTTTTATTAAATATATATTTAATTATAAATTAAAAATAAAATTTTATTTAATTTCTCATCTATAATTATTATTCTGATTATTACAAATATATTAATAACATGATTCAAAGTAAGCCTTGTGGAATAACTCAAAATCCAGAAATATGATGATTTTGAATAATACAGTATATGCAAAAAATGTAATTATGCATGTTATGCAATGTATTTTCGACATAAATTTACAGATTAGACTAGTGGTAATGATGAAAATACTCGGACGAGCGTAAATCTGATGATGAAAATTCTGAAATCTGTTCACATCCTGGATAAGATGTCACTGACTCACTGCAATTGGAATGTTGTGTGATCTTAATAATTATATCCAATTTTGTATCAACAAAGTGTGAGATTTAAAGAATTTATCATTTATTTTTTGAATTTACTCCCTGGATAATTCGATACTGCCTCATCAAGGCATGGTTTAGCAATTGTTATAACTAATTCTAGAGGTTGGACCCGATTAACATTAATTGATTAACGATTTAGACTTTTATTCGGTTAAGGTACCTCAAAAACCGATCCATAATTCGACCCTGGGAATTTAGGTCACGTGTCATCAAAACCGTAAACGGATCAAATAAAAAAAAATAAAAATTTTTTTAATATTAGCCAATTAATTAATCGGCTAAGACCCTTGGTTAATAAGTTTTATTCAGTTAAGTTTCAACTTCCTAAACAGTTCACTAAGTTGAGATTTGATGTTTATAAATAAATCCTACATTATTATGTTTATTGCTTATTTAGAATTATTAAATAACTGCTGAAATTACAGAAAGGATAAATTTGTTATATCTATTATAACGGATGATGTAAGCTTAAAAATTTTGCTTTTTGTTTGAAATCTCTAAAAAATTTTTATTTATTTAGCCTTCCTTTTCAAAAAAAAATACTAAACTAGAAAACTCATCTCGTATTAGACTCTAAAATCAGCGGAATAAGGAGGTTGTAATGCAGAAAAAAGTGAACGTTCCAACAAATTACCTTTCTAATAACTTCATTATATAGCTTTTTTACCTTCTCTACAAATTTACTTAAGGATCCAAATATTATATTGAATTTAAATATTTTGACGAATAAAAAAAATGTTCAGTCTTTAAATAAAGTCAAAAATTGGCACCCAAAATCTAAATACATTTAAAAGGTTAAAAACAAATAATTTAATATTTTAATAAATAGATAAATTACATGTTTAGCTTCTTTCTATTTGTATATCTGACAAAATTTATATGATAGTTTGTGAGAAATCATAAAATTTTGTCTGTTTTTGTTCGGCCCGTGGTCATGTGATGATTGACAATTTTTAGTCTAATATCGCTTATAACTACCCTTAAGTATTAAGAAAATTTTCTGTTTTATAATTTTTGCTACATAACAAAAAGACTTGATAATTGATATACATTCCAGTTTCCAGATATTCAAAATTTGTTTGTCATATATGCAAATGCTTGCACATGTGATGATCAACATTTTGCATATAATTATTACCATATATATACCCATACTAATAAAAGCGTTCAATAAAAAAAAACATTTCAGTGATGATGAAGGTAATAATCATTTATATAGCACAAATAATTAATACAATTAGTATTAAGATTTTTAAATAAATTTGCAATATAATAAACTAGTTTCCAGTAGTATTGAAGAATTTGAAGAAAGTACTGAAGAATCTAAAGGTATATTAAACTAACTGAAGTATTAAATTTTTTTTGTAATAATTTAAATACTGTATATAATTTTTCCTTATATTATACACAAATTAATATAATTTAAACTATCTATATTACACAAAAATTATTTTAAATAATTTAGCTCGTAAGTTAATAAATTATCTTATAATTGAATAATAATGGAATCGCTTATTATTTTTATTATATTTCATGTAACTAAATAATTCTTAATGATAATAATACTATAGTCCGTAAGTTATCAGTAATTTTAAATATTTAGTTCTTTACTTTATTTATTTATAAAATATTCAAATAACTAAATTCTTTGTTTAAATAATTAATTATATTACAGATGGTAAGTTACAACATTATATTTATTTGACTAATATTTTATATAATAATTCAACTAATTATATTCTTAATTTAAATAATTAGATTGTAAGTAATATATTTAATTTACAGTAAATACTATTGTATTATGTTTACATCTAATTAATTAATAATTAATAATATTACAGGGTGTAAGTTATATTTATATTTCTATTATTTATAATTTAAACTAACTAAACAGTTTATTTATAAAATTATTTTATAGATGGTAAGTTCAGTTATTTATTTAATTCTATTATTAATTATTTATATAATATTTACATATAATTTAAACTAACTAAATTCTTTATTTAAAAAATTATTTAAAAATATAGGGAGTAAGTTATTTATTTAATTCTATTATTACTTATTGTTATAATATTTACATATAATTTAAACTAACTATTTTTTTTTATTTAATAGATGGTATGTTATAAGTTATTTATTTAATTCTATTCTTACTTATTTATATAATATTTACATATAACTTAAACTAACTGAATTCTTTATTTAATAGATCGTAAGTTATAAGTTATTTATTTAATTCTATTATTACTAATTTATATAATATTTACATATAATTTAAACTAACTAATTTCTTTATTTAAAAAATTATTAAATAATATAGGGAGTAAGTTATTTATTTAATTCTATTATTACTTATTGTTATAATATTTACATATAATTTAAACTAACTAATTTCTTTATTTAAAAAATTATTAAATAATATAGGTTGTAAGTTATTTATTTAATTCTATTATTACTTATTGTTATAATATTTACATATAATTTAAACTAACTAATTTCTTTATTTAAAAAATTATTAAATAATATAGGTTGTAAGTTATTTATTTAATTCTATTATTACTTATTGTTATAATATTTACATATAATTTAAACTAACTAATTTCTTTATTTAAAAAATTATTAAATAATATAGGGAGTAAGTTATTTATTTAATTCTATTATTACTTATTGTTATAATATTTACATATAATTTAAACTAACTAAATTCTTTATTTAATAGATGGTAAGTTATAAGTTATTTATTTAATTCTATTATTACTTATTGTTATAATATTTACATATAATTTAAACTAACTAATTTCTTTATTTAATAGATCGTAAGTTATAAGTTATTTATTATTACTTATAATATAATATTTACATATAATTTAAACTAACCAATTTCTATATTTAATAATTTAGAACGTAAGTTATTTATTTAATCCTACTATTACTTATTTACATATAATTTAACTACCAACTAAATTCTTTATTTAAAAAATTATTTAATAATATAGAGCGTAAGTTATTTATTTAATTCTACTATTACTTATTTACATATAATTTAATTAACTAAATTCTTTATTTAAAAAATTATTTAATAATATAGAGCGTAAGTTATTTATTTAATTCTACTATTACTTATTTACATATAATTTAAACTAACTAAATAAAAAATTATTTAATAAAGTAGGGTGTAAGTTATTATCTAATCCTACTATTACGTATTTACATATAATTTAAACTAACCAAATTCTTTATTTAAAAAATTATTTAATAATATAGGGTGTAAGTTATTTGTATTTCTATTTTTATATATTTTATATAAATTTTGTTAATTGAATTCTTTCATTTAAAATTCTGCTTCTTTAGATGGTAAGTTGTAAATATAGGTTATTATTATATATACTAAAACATATATTATATTAAATTTCTATTTAAATTTTAGAGTAAGTGTTACTAATTTTAATACGAGTTAGTTTTTAATATAAACTTCAATATAATTTTAATTATTTAAATTTATAGATTTGGAGAAAGTGAAAATACAGTTTTGAATAATTTTATTTTGGAAAAAAGTTTAGTATGGATTCCTTATTATAAATTTAAAAATGTTGAATATCTTGATAGAGGAGGATTTGGTACTATATACAAAGCTATTTATAAAGATTGTGAAGTAGTTCTTAAATGTTGTAATAATTTAAATGAAAATTTAAATGAATTTTTAAATGAAGTATGATAATATATTATTTATTATTTAAATTAAATTATAATAAGTTATAATTTATTTATACTAATGTATTATTATTTTTTTATAGTGGAATTATCATAAAAGTTGTTCAGGTTCAAGTAATATTATTAATTTTTATGGATTTACAAAAGATCCAAATATTTTGAAATATATGGCAGTAATGGATTATGCAAATGAAGGTAATTTAAGAAGAAACTTAACAAGAATAATTAAAAATACTTGGTATCAAAAATTATATATGTTATATGAAATTATTAATGGACTTGAGGATATACATAAACAAAATCTTATTCATTGTGATTTTCATGATGGCAATATTTTAAATCATAATAATCATAATAATAATAATAATAATAAAGTAGAGTATAAAGTAGATGAAGTTTATATTAGTGATTTAGGATTATGTCAACCTGCAAAATCATTTTTGAAAAAATATGATATTTATGGTGTTATACCATTTATGGCACCTGAAGTTTTAAGAGGCAAATCTTATACACCAGCTAGTGATATATATAGTTTTTCTATGATTATGTGGGAATTTACGTCTGGAGTACCACCATTTAATAATAGAGCCCATGATATTCAACTTAGTTTAACAATTTGTAAAGGTGAACGTCCTGAAATTATTGAAAATACTCCACAATGCTATATAGATTTAATGAATAAGTGTTGGAATGAAGATCCATTAAAAAGGCCATCATCTGAAGAAGTGTGCGATATTTTTTATGGATGGGTTCATTCTCCTTATAAAATTGAAAATATTAATGAATTAAAATGCAATCTTATGGAATTTATAAATGCACCAATTAAGCATAACAATCTTGCTACTAAATTTCATCCACAAACATGCTATACAAGTCGCTTACTTGACTTTACTAGTAAAGAATTGAATGAAATTCTTGAAAGTGAAGATTCACAAACTTATCACATAAGCTATTCCTCTACTGATATAACTGAAGATTTGGATGATTGTACAATTATAAATATGGGTAATTAGGTATGTAATGAAACACTAATTTTGCAAATTATTTATATGGATTAATTTTTATTTATTAATCATTTAGATATTATTATTAAAAGATTTATAGTATTTTTTTAAGTGATATTTGATATGATTATTCAGCAGAAGTTATTTTTTATTTTATTTTTAGATTTATTTAAACACTAAGACTAGAATAGTAAAATATTTACAAGTTTCTTAATTTGTAATTTAAATAATTCTTTTTTTTATTTATATTCCCTTTATTTTTATTTTACTTAGAGTTATTTAAACATTAAGGCTAGAGTAGTAGTAATATTTTATAAGTTTCTTAGTTTGTAATTTAAATAAATCTTTTTATATAACTTTAATTATCAAAATTTTGCCATACATTTCTACAATGCAATTCTACAAAAATAAATGTCCAGAAAAAATTTGATACTTAAAATTTTTGACATATCTGGATTTTATCTATGATTTGTCCCGAATTTGTCCAATATAAAATATTGTTATATTTTTATAATAAAACTTTAGGTTATTATTATTAAGAACAGTAGTAATGATGATTAACTTTTTGTAATAAATTTTATGAAAATATTTCTAAACAAATTCTGAACAAAAATAAGCATCCAGAAATAAGTGTATAATTCTTTAGACAAATTTTCTGGACAATTTCTGGACATTTATTTTTATAGGGTAAAATAAAATATTCAATTAATACTTATCACTATTTTTGTTATTATTAAACATATAAATAAATAATTTGTTGGAATTTTTAAATGTATGATTTATTATTATAGCAATAAAAAGTTAGTGAACATTTAAAAAATTTAAATTTTTTAAATAATAAATACCTTTATTATTTTCTTCATTAATATTATGAAGTAATAATGGATGAATTACTAGGTTTAGTAATAAATTACTAAATGTAAATGATCTACTAGAAGTTGAGATATTGGGTATTTTCTTTATTTTTCTTTATCTGCTTCTTTAAATGCTGCTTTAATTCTATTCCTTTATAACCAGATTCTTCTATTTCATTTTTACAGCTTCTAATAAACTTATAACAAAAAGTAAATATATTGCATAATTCATTAGCTGTTTGTTTTTCATTTGAATTAGTACTTATACATTTATAAGCCAATTTCTTACAAATTCAGAGTTCCTTTCCCAAATTCTGGTTTGAGCCCATTACATATGGCTTATGCTAAACTTAAAGGTGGTTTTCCAGAGTACAATTCAGCTATAATTACACTAAAACTATAGATATCAGACTTCTGATGTAATATATCAAAATACTTTATCATCATCAGTAATGTTTTGGGAATTAAGATTCTCAAAGATTCTTGTTAATTAAATTTATAAGGATCCTTAAGGAATCATTTCCACCTCTAAAAATTCTTGATAAAAAATTTTATAAATTCTTAAGGATTCATAAATTTTTAAGGATCCTTAGAGGATTCTATAACCAATTTAAGGATCTTTAAAGATTCTTTCCATCTATGAAGGATCCTTGAGAATTCTGGTCTCCAAAACATTACTGATATTTGCCAGTCCAGATAATCTAAAGTCTAAAATGAAAGATAAAACAGCATAAATTTGTAAGATATTTCCACTATGAAAATACTTATGAAAATATCTGATTTATGTAATCTTTACATGTTATATCATGAATTAATTTTATTTTCCAATAAAATATTCTTGAAATTATTTGAAAGAATGCTTCTCAAATTTTCTTCCTCAGCAAATTGTATAGTCATCACATAACTTCTGGGTTTTTAGTTAATATATAATTAATCTTCCAAACTTAGATACTTCTCAATGTATTTAAGCTACATTAATTTTTAAACAAAAATAATTTTGATGATCCTCAATATTAGACAATAAAAATGTAATAAATAAAGTTATAAATATATCAAGATAAAGAAACTTACTATATAACTAATATATTTTGTGAACCATTTAATCTTTCAAAGCAACTTTTATTGATTCATTTTCTGCCAACTTTTATCATTATTTTATGATACTTTGATCTACCATCAATCCATGTTGCAGAATATACCTTAGCAAGTCCACCTTTATTTATTTCTTTTACATCTGTAAATCTCTCATTCAAAAATTGGTACGAACATTAAAAAGTTTTATTTGGTTTACTATGCAATAATTTGATAAATACTTCTTTTAAGACAAAATGTAATAGATATGTTCTTTAATAATATTGATAATATTTGTTATGGGATACTTTATACAATAACTTCCAAATGTTTTTTTCATATAAAAATTGATAGTAATGTGTTTACAATCAGTGTAAAAGTTCCTTAATTGTGCACATTTGGAGGATAAATGAGAATTAATAAAATATAAATAATTTTATAAATAATATTTATTGAGCCTTAAAAATACTTTATTTTCGTTTTAAAAATTACTATATGGGTCAGAAATGAGTTTTTTGTTGGCGAAATGTATTCTTTTGCATTTATTTTATTTCAAAAGAGTGGTAATTAAAGTCTATTACAAATAACATGTATTGAGCACCGTAATGCTTAATTGAACAGTCTATACGCGTAGATCTCTAGCTTCCATCACATCAAGAATTCTCATCAAGATAGGACCACCCCTTCGTTTGGAATTATTATTTATTTTGCACTTGTTTCGCAAGTGTAATTAATTTAGTCAAGTGATAGTCTATCAGGTGATTTTTGGTATTACAAACAATGACATCGGAAATTATGAAATCATTTAAATTTGCAATCCATCAATAAGTTATAATCAAAGGTTATAGTCAAAGATCAAAGAAGTTATTTATTTTTATACATTAATTGTTAAATATGCAAGTTATAACGTTTGTAGAAAATATGAAGACACAAGATTCTCATTTTGTCAAGTATCCATCAAAGGTTCCGTTTCTTGATCAATCTGGTGTATCAATTAATATTGCTGTCTTTTCATAACCTTTGTTTAATGCATAAAATTCATAATATCTTGCATCAGTTAATCATTTGTGGATTAAATAATAGAATCAAGATATGGTTTATCACTATCATGTTGTTGAACATGTATTACATTTGGTTTACTAAATCTTGTTCTCCATCTATATCTAATATGTTTTATAATAAAAATTTTTAGCAAAATGTAAGATTATATTCGTTTCCCCTTATCCTTCATTAAGTATATATTAAATTTATTTTAAAGAAATGATACTTTTGATAATTTCTTTGTTAACATATTGTGTCAGTGTGGCTGTGGTGGTTGAGTTTGTGGTTGAGTATATTTGTGTGTGCTGTGCAAAATTACACAAAAATATGTAGATTATGGTATAATAAGAAAAAGAATTATAAATAGCCAGTGTATTCATTGATCTGAAATTTTTTTACCCCTTTTTTCCTTTTTTTCCTTTTCCTCTTTTATTTATTTATTTTTTTTCTCAATGTATTAACAAATTAAGGCTTCATTTTATTCAAGCATCTAATATTAAATCATTTATAAAATATTATTATTTATAAATATTTATAACATACTACTCTAATATAATAATAATTTTATATATGTAATTTGAACATGGAACACAGACAGTACAGTAATGTAATTATACACTAATAACTATTTATAACAGACACCACTCACATAATCTATTAATCTTTCAAATATCTTTGAAAGTTACTCAGTATCCAAAATCCCTACTTAAATAATTATTTCTTGCAAGAATTCTCGTCAATAATTACCCTTTCTTACCTAATAATGCAAAAAAATTTTTGGGATTTGAAAATTTTGAAAAATTGATTTCCTTTTAGGGTGACACAAGCTGCCTGTTTATTATATATTGACTTATCCATCAAAGGTATTGTCACCAAAGAGAGGATGTAAGAGACAAAAATTAGTAATAAAAGAACAAAAATAAGAAATAATCATGCAGTTGGTGTTTGTCCTTCTAAAAAATAGTAACTGAATTTTAAAATTCTTTTTTAAAACTCAACTAATTAATAAAAGAAAAAATAACACTACTAAATAATAATTAATAATTAAAAAAACAACTCTTTCTTCCACAAACTATTTCATAAATTACTGCCGAAATTCATTAATAGAAAATGGATAAAAATAAAACCAATCAATTACTATGGCGTCGACTGCAGATCATGACATGGGACAAAATAGCACTAATAGTAAGGAGTCGATGCACAAGCCAAAAAAGGCAGAAGAAAACCTTGAGCATACTATACAGAATTTAGAGAGTGGACAAGTATTTGTTTATTACATCCTAATGCAAAAATTCCATCAGTGAATACAATTGCATGATATTATAAATTTTAGAAGACTGGTGATATAGATTCGAATGGCAGCATTGTGATATAAAGTATATTGTTATCTTTATTATTTAGCATAAATAGTATTCAAATTCAATGCAGATAATAGTTATAAACTATAGTAGTGCAATCTACCATAGTAGAAATTTAATATACTGATTATGAGTGCAATGTTTCTAAAATACTTAATATTTAAAAATTTATATATTTATTATCTTGAAATTAAAAAAGCATTTAAGCAAATAAGCTTATTTAATCTCCTTTACTCCCTATTTTTTATTAATTAGTAAGAAATAATCAGACATTAGAAATGAAAGTTAAGGATATTAACATTAAATCAAGACCTTTATTGCCTATAATACTGCATTTTATAATAGTATAGATTTTTTTGATTATATATGACTTTCTGATTTCCAATTATACATACAATTGAATACATTTAATTTCTATAATATTTGATAGAATATTATTCTAATTTAATTTTAAACAATATATTCAATTTAATATAATTATAATTGTGAAATTTTTTCATATTTATAATTATTTTAATTTATATATTTTAAACAAGATTTATTTACATTTTAAATATCCTATATTTCTTTCGAAATAATCAGTATTTAAATATGGAAAAGAAAAAGCATATGCTATCTATAAAAGAAGGGACAAATTCTCTAAATATTATTTTAATATTTTATTTAAAATACTTGCAAGATTAATAAGCATAATATCTAATGATTATAGATATCAAAAAAGTCTTATTGCAACTTTCTAACTATCTTACAAAGTCTATATATTGAAATCATAGAGAAACTTGACCTATTTAACATTTTCTAAATGAGTTTCATGATCTTTTGATCTTATCACAGGATCTTGGCAATGCTTATCTCCTTTTAAAAAAGATATACAAATAACTTATTATTTTCAAAGAACTTCTGGTGGAATATGAAAAGTTTGCCAATTTCAAGTAAATCAAAAACTTGATATTGTTAATAAAACAACCAATATTGTTTATAAAAAATTTGATATCATCAATTTATAAAAAGCAATGGCATATTTCAAAATGTCAAAAAATGTCAAAAAAATTTTATTCAATTTATAACTAATTTACTTTTAAAACAGAAAAATCAAATCACAATGGATATAGATTAATAGAAGTTCTGCAAATTAATAAAAACAAGCAAAGTATATACTTAAAATTTATGAGGTCCAGAAACTTTATGATTGCCTCTCTCATTCTAAGGGAAATAAATTATTTTTTTCTTTTTCCCCACATCTAATAGTTTTTCTCAGATTTCTTTTATCAAACTTAACAAAGTAGTAATAGTAAATAATGAAATGATGGAAGAATATCATGCACAAGATGGGATAGATCAAGGAGAGGCATGGTCACCATTATCTTCTTATTCTGCTGAGAATGCTGAAAAAAAATGATATATGGATGATTGACATTATAGTACTTTATACAGGAATTTACTCATAATAATATTGGTGATATTCAACCTTTTACTGTAGTTCAAAATATATTGTTTTAAAGAATGATAAAGTTTGAAGCTAATATTCCATCAACTGATACCATTCATAATGGTATGAAAAAATTCAAGAAGCTATCAAAGAATTGTATTATTTTTAATGTTTTAATAATGAATATATTATTAAACTTAAATTAATAAAAATTAAAACATTAGTTTCTTTATGTAGATTTGTGAGAAATGAGGGTATAAAAAAGTTTTAAAAATAATAACTCTCATTTATTAAAACCCTTATTTCCTTTACTATTTATATTAGTAATTACAAACTGAATTTTACTGATTTTTCAAATTATAAGCTTTAATAAGTAAGATTTTTGAGTTATTCTACAATTCAAATTTTAAAAGTTCTATTATTCTACAATTATCTTATATATATAGTTGCCAACTTTTCCAGCTTGTTCCACTTCAAAATGATCAGGAAGATATATCTAGGGATGGGGGTTAATTAACCACGGTTAATTAACCATGGTTAATTAACCGTTAATTTTGTTAGTTATGATTGATTTAAAATGGTTAATTAACCGTTATTTATAATTAGCCAATCAAAATGCAGAATTTAAATCATGTGATTAAATGATAATCCATTATTTTGTTACACAATTAAATATTAATTAATATAAATATTGATTAAATCTATGATCTACATATTGCATGATCTTTTTTTTAAGATAAATTTTTTTTAAAAAAACACTTTTTTTTTGCAAATTTATTGTTCATTATCATGGTAAAAAAAAAGGGAACTGTTTGGAAACATTGGACAATAATTACTGAAGCAGAAAGTAATGAAGAAAGTAGTAGGTCTAAGAAAAAAACACATCCTTCTGTACGTTGTAATTATTGTTCTAAAGTTTTTGAACAAGGTACAGCTAAAAGAATGCAAGTTCATCTTAATGATAGTTGTCCTAGAGCTCCAGAAAGTGCAAAAACAAAGAAACAACAAATTCCTGAACTATTAGAAACTTCTGATGCTACTACTTCTACTTTTATTCCTACAGTAAAAACATCAAAAAAGCATTTAAAAAATACAACAATTGAGAATTTTGTTGATCGTATGAGTGAAGAAGAACAAGATACTCTTGAAATTTTACTAGCTCAAGCATTATTTGCTGCTGGAGTTCCTTTTTCTTTTCTTGAAAATAATTATGTTATTCAGTTTTTTCAACAATTACGTCCAGCATTCAAATTACCTAATCGAAGAAAACTTGCTGATGAATTACTTGATGATGTTTTTGATGAAGTTAAAGCTGAATGTAATGAACAAATTTTACAAGCTAAATCTCTTACAATGGTTTCAGATGGTTGGTCTAATATTAATCGAGAATCAGTTCAAAATTTTGTTATTTGTACTTCAAAACCATTATTCTTTGATGCTATTTATTCTGGTGAAGAATCTCATACAGCTAAATGGGTTGCAGATGAAATTATTAAATTCAAATGGAAATTGTTGGTATTAATAAATTTTCAGCAGTTATTACAGATACAGCTAGTGTAATGAAAGCAGCTTGGCGAATTATTGAAGATAGTTATCCAAGTATTGTTTGTTTAGGATGTAATTCTCATGTAATGAATCTTTTAATTAGTGATATTTTAAAGATTGATCAAATTAAATCTGTTGTTGAAAATGCAAAAAAGTTGGTCAATTATTTTAAGGCACATGTACAGGCAACAGCTAAATTGAAACGTATTCAAAAAGAAAATTATTCTAAAGAAATTGCATTGGTTTTACCAGCACTTACAAGATGGGGAACACATCTTGCTTGTTTTCAATCACTTCAAAATTCAAGAACAGCACTTGAACAGGCTTTAATGGATATAAGAATTCGTCAAAATATGGATTTAACTTTAAGAGCTCATATTTTATCAGATGAGTTTTGGGAAGATTTAGATATAATAACAAAAATTATGGAACCAATGGTTTCAGCATTAAAGTTATTTGAATCAGATATTTCAATTCTTTCAAATGTTTATTCATATTTCAAAGAAGTAATGAATCAAATTAATCAAATAGATTGTAATTTTTCTGATAAACTTCAAGAACTTATTGCAAAGCGATGGGAATATACTTATCATCCTATTATGATAACAGCTTATATGTTAGATCCACAATTTTTGGAAAAAAGTAAAAATGATGAAGTTGAATCTATTGGTTATGTAGAATTTACAACATTTGTAAATAAAAGATTTAATCAGGAAGAAGCAGTAGAATTATTTGCTGAATTGGTAAATTTTCGTAATAAAAATTCACCTTATGATAATGAAATTATTTGGAAATCTGCTAATATTCTTAATTCATCTTTATGGTGGCAATCATGGCCAACTAGTAAACTTCAACAACTGGCTATTAAAATTCTCTCAATTCCTACATCTTCTGCAGCTGCAGAAAGAAATTTTTCTACTTTTGGTTTTATTCATAATAAAATTCGAAATAGATTGAAAAATGAACGTGTTAAAAAATTAGTTTATATTTATGGAAATCTTCGAATGTGTAATAGACTTGTAAAAATACAAAAAAAGAAACAGATTAGTAATTTTAATGAAAATGAAGAAGATAGTAATAATAGTTCTGATAATGAAAATAAAGAAGATGATAATAATAATAGTTCTGATAATGATAGTATATTTGGATTTGAAGCAAATGTTATTAATTTAGATGATGAAGAATAAATAAAATATATTAAAATTTTATAATATTTAATAAATTATAAATTTATTTTAACTTCCTTAAAATTATATATACAGGTTATTTATGGGTTAATTAACCGTTAACTAACCGTTAATTAACCGGTTAATTAACCAAATTCATAACTAACGGTTATTTTACCAACCCTAGATATATCACTCAATTTTTCACCTGTATTTGCTGTCCGTTCAACAGATAAACAGATCAATGAAAAAAACTGGGATGATTTGGTTAATCATATTAAGACAGCCTACACCAGAATGCATTGCCTACTACAATGAGCTAAATGCAGAATTTGCAGACTCATTCTTTATCACAGAACTATTTATCCTCATCTAAGATAAGCAATTAACAGCTAGCTGTATTAAAGAAAGTGATTGAAGCTTATTCAGCAATTATGCTGGAAAGAGGCCTTGTGGAGAAAAAACATAATAAATGACCAAAAATTTATTGAGGAATTATTTTATTTGAAGTTATTTCAGTTAATATTCAGTGATTCAACAATTACAAATTTTTATACTATGGTTTTAATTGTTTTTTCATAAAAAATAGTTTATTTCTATTAATTTATGGTGAATAATAGGAAAATCAGTTCTAAAAAGCCCATTTAGAAACCCATTCAAATTGATAAAAAAAATTCATGTATAGCAACTCCTATAGAAAGTCACAATGTGGATTGCCTAATTCTAACAATAAAAACATGGCGAAGGTGGTGTAATGATATGCTTCTCTTGGTATATGGGTTGAATCTTTTAATAAGAATGATATCCATTTATTGGTACTTCAACAAGCCTCAACTTTTATTAATAATAAGTTATATTTTATTATAAAAAACAAATAAATGCAATAAATTGTATTTTGCAAATTATTTAATAACTTTAAATGAAGCATTACATTTTCCAGCTTGAATTCAATCACTGACCAGAAATATCTAGCAATTATTAAAGCAGTAAAACATTTCTTACATCATGTAGGCTTGAAACCTTTCATAATAGTAACAGATCATTCAGCACTTAAATGGTTACAAACTTCCAAGATTTCTAAAGTGCACAGCAGGGCTAGATGAATAATGGAATTGCAACAATATGAATTTCTTTACCCTAAAACAGTTAACTTATAGATCATTTAATTGCTATTAGTAGAATAATATATAATTTAAATTAGTTAAACACTATTTACATACTTCTTCTATTGTTCTACCCTTTTTTTCAAATTTTTCAATAATTAAAACGATATACTGTAGAAATACCAATGACAATTTCTAAGAGAAAGGAATGGGAAACCAATAGACTTAAAATTAAAAATAGATAGGTAATACTACTGGTATTGCCTTGTGCCTATTCTCAAGAACGAATTCTCCATCAAGCTTTAAAGTATTAGGTGAACGTGAATTGAATTTTTCAATAATAATGATCAAACACACCTCTCAACAGCAGGATGATACTTACTAATGACAGCTCAACTAGTAAAGACCCACTCGTCATTTGTTACTGTTGTTGGAGTCGAGCAGTAAGTAAATTTGTTTTCCTACGTTCCCTTCCCTGTAACTTCTAGCACTAATTTGTCTTTTTTTGCAGTTAAAGTGAATCTCAGATTTTATCTAAATAAAGACGAATGTAAAATTCCACATTCAAGCAGTTCTTTCACTTTGTTGCGACAAGCCATCAAAGAAAAGTTTGAAAAGTTAGAAAAGACAGAAATAACTGATCTTTATTTTGAATATTTTCATGGCAATTCTAAAAAAAGAGAAATAGTTGAAAATGAGTTTCATTTCAATATGTTAGTAAATAATATTCAGCTGAATAATAAACAAGAACATACTATCAATTATCTAAAAGTTCAAGTAAAAGGAAAAAAGGCGTATGGTAATTGGAAAATAAAGGAAGTTGCAAAAATTTACAATGATGCATTTACATCCGTTGAAACACTACAGATTCAAAATAGATACTCTTTCAGAAGCGTCTCCTCTGCTTGAATCTAATAAACTGGATGACTTTGTTAAACAACTCAAGAAAAAATGTTACGCATTTCAAGCTATTACATCTAATAAAGCCACAATACACAAGTTTAATTAGATATACATATGGGACAGTATCTGCCTAATATATACAATAAATATAGGGCAGTCTCCAAAAATCCTGAGATTTCTTGAGGATCAAACAAATTATCTATCAGCACCTATAACAGTGTATGTTATATAAACCTATGAAGGTTTAATACAAGATTTTAATAAGCATAGAAGAGTAATAAGACCAAAATTATTACATGGTGGAACTTGGAAAGAGTCAGAAGAAGATATTCATGCATTATTAAAGAAATCTTCAATGTCTTGAAAGATATTTGGAATAATTCAGCATTTAATTCTGAAGCTGCAGGAACATTAAATGAAGGGATATATCAATCAACTGTTATAGTTTCTGCAATTTGAGCTTCACTAAAAAATCTCCCATAGACACCTCATTTTTTATTAGTACATCAGAAAAGCAAAATATCTAGTAAAACAGTTACAAAAAACTATGTAGATGGCACTGCATTCTATTGACCAAATCCTGGAAAACAAAAATATTTTAATTTCAAATTATTTATCAGAGCCAATAAAGATTTACATTCCTTTGATGAAGGCAATCTAGTTATGTTTAGTGGAAAATTTACATACTGAAAAGATATTAATGAATATCCCATGTTTGCAGATATTATGTTTGTAGGGAAATACTGTGAGAAGATTTTTGAACTTAAATATATATCAAATGTTATTGCTTAATTTGTAGTTAACAAAAAAAGACAGATAATGAGATAAAATTATCATGAAAGACTAATAATGGTGTATACTGTGTACTTCAAAGTCTCAAGCCTAATAAAGACCAGTTTGGAATTGTAGGTGTGCATGTAGCAGGTGATATTTTACACTTGAATGTTCTTATTCAGGAACAAATCCAATGTTCATACTAGACACTGCCATCTTAAATCTGCCAAAATTCCCATATAATTATTAATGAAAGTGTTGTAACTGAATTCACAGAAACTTCTTACTTTACAAAATATTATAATTATTAATTTATCTTTAATTTATCTTTACTATATCATGCATCAGTATCTTCATCAGTAAGATAAAAGTAGTACTACAGTTTCTACTCCAATGTAATAAGATTATGATTATTAGAGTTTCTTTTTTTGTAATTTATATTATTGTATCATTATTTTCTGTATCAATAAAATGACCCTGGTGACAAATTATACATTTATATAAGTAAATAAAAACTTTGTGTTATGAAAAATAACAAGCATATAACTTTTTTTTATTGTGATAATTCTAACAGATGAATCCATGCAGTTGCATTATGGTATTGATGCAAAAATTAAAACACTAATAAAATAATCTATTTAACACAGTAATTGGCATAAATTATCTAGTATCTCATAATGTGTTATTTCTGATCTCTAGGTTCAGAGTTAATCTATCTGCTCCAGAGGAAAAAAAAAATTTTTTAAAAATAAAAAAGGAGAGAAACTGTTGTTGCACAACCAATTGTAAAATACATTAATTTCAAATTGATATACAATAAAAGTAAAATATGCATTTATATGCAAGTTATGCATCAAAATTTATAATTATGTGCAGTTCTAAAAAAAAACTACACATACTACAAATGATAAAGTAATGAAAATGCTTAATAACAAAGCAAAAATTAAATTCACCTTCAGATTAGTTGAATCCTACAAAAAATCTTTCAAGAAAAGAATGATATATTTTGAAGTATATACGTGCCCCAGAGCTGAAGCCTACATACAAAAAAAGAAAAAACATAACGGTAGCTGCATTTTGTTAAAAAAATCTAAAAAATAAAAATACAAAAAAATGGTAGCCAAATCTGTTGCCAGGTTACACTTGATTTGCACACATGATCTGGATAATTATTTTCGGTATGGTATCCCTAAGGATTGGAAAAAATCCCTAGGGATATTAATTTAGTTATTAAATTTATTTATTATTTTCTTATTCATTATTAATTATATTTATTAATTTATATATTTAATGTATTTAATGTGTACTTCTCTAATATTATTGTATATATTATTTATTTCTCCGGTTAATAAAAATAAAACAACAATTTAAATACAAAATACAAAGACGCCTAATAAACAAAGTTAAATTATTTCCTCTCTAATCGATACCCTCGATACCCTAGTTCATTTTAAATCCATTTTTTTGATAAGATTCAATGGTGTATTCGATGTTCATCTTGTTTATTTGTGTGTATATTGATTTAATCATATTGAAAGTATTCAATGTTTTTGCTTTGATAAATATTGCGACACTACAAAAAATAAATAGAATTATCATTTCCCCTATCGAAACCTACCCATCTAAAAAAAATAGAAAAAGATTGAAACGTTGATAAACGTTTCATTAAAATAAATAATTCAAGAAGCCTTCACTCACCGAATTCTCACCGTTTCTAAAGAAATCAGAAGAAATGACCGTTTAAAAAGAAAAAATCAAAATGTTAGTAGATGTTTCACTACAGTAAAATAAAAATCTAAATAATTCTCCCACCAGTTTCTAGCGCGTCTCTTCTCATCTGAAGAAAAGAAAAGGTTGAATTTTTTTGTTTTCAATACACTTGTCGAAACAACTTGTAGTGCGAAATTATCCGAAAGATGGCATCTTCGTTATCTTTTTTCCTTTACCGTTATTCTGTAAGTATTTTACGTCTAGAGAGACTTAATATTTTAATTTTTTATAAAAAAATAATATTATTTTTTTATTTTTTTTATTGTTAATATTAAAAATTAAAAAAAAAAATTTTTTTTTTTTATTCATTGGTCCCACATTAAGAGAGGTTCAAAACCGCCTAAAAAAAAGAAATTAATAATGTTCATTAATATAAAAAAAAATCGAAAAAAAAAAATTTCTTTTTTACTTACCAGTCCCACGTCCAGAGAGACTCGAAAAACCGCCTAAAAATGAAGAAAAATGAACAAGTTAGTAAATATAAAAAAAAAGTTGAATTATGCTAGAACTACGTATAATAATACGTTTCCTGAAAAAACACTCTGGAGCATATCCTTTGTTAGGATATTTCGGAATAGCATCTCATGAAATGCAACGGCGGAAATGAAAAGTAATAACAAAAATATATCCCGCCTGTTCATATTGTTATGATAAAAAGTAGTGATTCGCAATATTTTATTGTCTTTTAGACTTTACAACGATTTATTGACTTTTGTAAAGCAAAAGCGGATCTATGATCCTTTATATACTGTATTTTGATGGAAAACTTATTTATTAACGCTAATACAGTTGGAAGGAAAATTCTGATTCGAAATATAAATGGTATCATGTCTTTCTCTCGGAAGAAAAAACGTTAAGATCCGGGCTTGGCGCTTGTACCTAAAGAAAAAAAAGTTAGCATATTCTAATATTCCCCTCAACATGTTTAAGCAATGAAAACTTTTTTCGTAAATGTTTGACCTTAAGCTCTTAGCAAGAGAAGGTAGATTCAATTTTTATTAATAATAGTACATGTTGTCACGTCAGAGAAAGCGCCATAATACAGAGTTTAATTTCTGTATCTATCTACACGCTAAAATCTATCGAAGCTAACTACATTGATATTCTATCGACCACTTCTTGTTCGTGGCGCAGTTCGTCTCAAAGGCCTCACTAAGATATAGACTCGAAAGGTGGTAAACTGGCAGGTATTTATAAAAAATCGGACAGTCACACGTTTTATGCCCCTGATTTGCAATTGATCTTCCAGATTTCAGGAGACGCATGAGCTGAAATAGATCTACAAATCAAAACGATTTCACGAAAAACGATATCTGATATAAGTATTAGTTATTTACTGATCTAGTAGTATGTAAATAGGTTATCATCCAAAGGATGACACCTTATCGCACAATAAAGTTTTTACAGTAAACACTTATTTTATTAATGAAATTACTTCTTTAATATTCTATAAGTAAACTTATTGTATATATCACAATGAATTACACATATAAAATCTTATACTTATTTCTAAAATTATATATTTTAAATTTACTTGAAATACTTGTAATTTCTAAATAATTTGAATGAGATGTTTTTCATGAGTTTGATTCTAATCAATCTAATATTTTAGGTAATTAATTTATTACAATAAGCACAATAGGCTCATGAAATTGGTTGGAATTGATCTTAAAAAAAAGATTATTTGATGCCCGAATCTGGTCATAAGACTTTGTTGATGTTGAAAAAATTGCTGAAGAACCGACTGAGTCGAACCGGAAGCTTCTAGAAAGGATAAAGCCCGTGTGTTAATTGTTTAGTTATAATTTAATGTTATGTGACAAATGACGCGCGTCAGGTTGTTCAGGGGATCACATTTTTTATTGTAAAACCTTTTGTGATTGCCCGTTATTCTAATACACTAAATATATAAATTTGGCCGGAATTATGTTTAATTCTGGCCAAAATTAAAATTTCAATCGCATTTTTTTCCTTGAATTATATAATACTTTGTATAATAAAATTTAAAAATCCGCAGGATATTCGTAATTTTTCACATGACTTTAAAAAAATGAATGACAAATCTACAGTAACTGTTTCTAGAAATTCATGGTACACAAACTACACAATCGAACATGAAATTATTTAAATAAAGCTACAGTTTTCATTCCTTTCAAACTTAAAATTTTTTCCTTTTTTTTTATTTTTATATTAAAAAAAAACGTCTTTCAAAATTTTTAGCAGAATTATCTAGCGACTACGAAAAACTTTTTGAAACAGAAATTGGATGTGATGTTATTATTCATGCTGGAGAAGGACAAAATTCGAAGGAAATTCATGCTCATTCAAATATTTTGTGTATTAGGTCTCAATATTTCCGTTTAGCATTTTCTAATGAATGGGCTAAGAAAAGAGATGGAAAATTTATTTTTAAGAAACCAAATATTTCACCACAATTATTTAATATTATTCTTAGGTAATAATTTTAATAATTTATGATAAATTTTTTTATTCTCATGATTCAAATCTTTCTAATTGTTATCTTTATTAGATTCATTTATTGTGGAAATATTGTTTTAAAGAATTTACAAGGTCCTGATGTATTAGAGTTATTGATAGCTGTGGATGAGTTAAATATTAATTCGTTAGTTTCCCACATTCAAGAATTTTTGATTGAACATTTTTACAACAAAATCCAACTGGAATTCTTGAAACAATTTATCAGCATGAAACATTTACGGATTTATGGAATTTTTGCCTTGAAAAAATTTGTGAAGAACCTAAAATTTTATTCAGCTCTGATAAATTTATTAATTTAAAAGCTCCTTTATTAGAATTATTATTAAAAAGAGACGACTTAAATATAGATGAAATTGAAATTTGGGAGAATTTATTAAAATGGTGTTTTGCCCAACAAAATATTAGGGATGATTCAACAAAATGGAGTAAAGAAGATATTATAAGAGTTGAAAGAGAATTATACAAATTTATTCCTTTAATTCGATTTTATGATATTGAACCTACAGATTTCTTTTACAAAGTTTATTGTTACAAAGACGTCTTACCACAAGATTTAATTCATGGTCTTTTGGAATATCATATAGTTCCTGACATAAAATCAAAAGTTAATTTATCACCTTCAAGAAAGCCAAATTTAAAATATCCACTCGATTCAACTTTAATTAAATCGAATCACCTTCCTCTTTTTGTTTCGTGGATTGATAAAAAATATTCATCACATTATAGAAAAAATGTTCCTTACGATTTTAAGCTATTATATCGCTCAAGTCAAGATGGAGTTGATACTTTATCTTTTCATAAAAATTGTGATAATAAAGGAGCTACTATTTGGGTAGCAAAAATTAAAAATTCCACGCAAATAATTGGAGGATATAATCCACTTGATTGGAATGGTAAAGCTGTTTGGAAAACTACAACAAATAACTTTATTTTTAATTTTATAAATGGAAAAAATATTTCTACTGCAAAAGTAGGTTATGTTAATAAGCAAGGTACTGCTGTTTTTTGTCATGGTAATTTTGGACCAACCATGGGCAATTTACACTGCTACCTTAATGCGTGGTCTAATTTTGATCGTAATGGAGATCGTTATCCTAATATAGGAATTCCAGAAAATAATTTCGAAGTAGAATATTATGAAGTATTTCAAGTACTAATTAGTAAATAAAAATCAAATGTAGAAAATTCATTAATGGGTAATTAACAAAATTGTATATTTTATTGAATTTATTTGAAAAAAAATTTTATGAGACCACTATTAGTAAAAGGATTGCAATACTTTCAACGAACCTTTAATTTACTGGATTGTTTATTATAATCCCAAATCATTTGTTAATAACTGAAATATTGCTATAAAAAATTCCAGTCTGTCTAAACCGTGACTGGTATAATAATTATATACTATAATAATTACTATACATTTATAGAAAAATATTTTATTGTTGAAAATTTGTGTATTATAAAAAAAATACATAGTAGTACAGGTTGAGGCATAAGATTTCTTATTCACTGTGCAAACTTTCCGATAATAAAAACTTAATGAATAACTCTCTATAAGTAATAATAATTTTATCAAGCTGATAAAAATATAACAAAAAATATTTCTGTATTTGAATCTAACTTATACTATCTAAATTTCTTGTTATGGGATAACTAGGTACTTTTTATCATTAAAATGTTAAAGTTTCAGTAGGAGTCACTTTCAGAATTGGTTTTGGTTTCAGAAATTTTAGGAGTTTTTTTTTCTTTTTAAATTATTATTTGTATTTTAAGATATCAAACTCGAAATTATATCATAGCCTATTTGAAAATGTATGAGTAAAAATTGATCAAAAAAATACAATCCTATTTACAGTAATTTTTCCAGCCAGAATTAATATTATTTTACTATTTTAATTTAGAACTTTCAAAATTTGCTCAAATATATTATAATAATACTTTTATTACTTGGGAACTAATGTACACTAATTTTATAAAATTTTAAAATTTAGTAAAGGATGATAAAAATATTGCACATTATTGTTTAAATTTATTATATAAGAATAATTTGAATGAGAAAATTTTGAATATGAAAGTGATAAAAGCCAACCTGATAAGGATTTGGTTTGGTTCATTTAATAAAAGCTTATCGATCAGAAAATAAACATTATGCAAAAATTTATTTAAATGAGTTCATATTAATTTTATATGAACTTTCTATATTTTTCATTATTTATACTCATAGTTACACCAATATTTTATTATGATAATGCTCTGTTTTTATTAAATTCCATTTATTATTACAATGTTAAATTTACGACTAATGACTGGATAATAATATAATATAAATCTATGAATCATATGACTCATAAAAAATTACTTGTACTACTTACATGAAGTATATTTATTTATTTATTTTATGTTAAGTAAAGAGGAATACAATGAAAATCACATCACTATTCAGTATTCTAACGAATACAAGTAGAGGAAACATTATAGAACTTCGTCAAACCAACGATAAAAATCACTAGAGCGGACCCTTACTAGAATTATAAAAAACTACCCGGGACTTCGACCAAGCCAGGATAGTATTTACATGAAGTATATTTCAGTAACCTAAAATACTAACCAGTCACGGGATCGTATCATGCAAAAATTATGGCAAATTTTCTCATAGAGGCTTGATAAGTTAAATAAAATTAACGCAAATTCTTGATGAGTGTTCAACAATATATCAAATAAATCACCAAATTTTTGATTAATCAAGAAAACAAAATTATGTATTACGTGAATCACGGGATAATTATTGCACGTAAACTTTTTCTTTGCCCCTTCGATATTCGTATCTTTCCTTTCATCTCGCTCTTTTGTTTTCTCTCTTCCTTTTGTCTTCTTTCTCACTTCTCATACTTTCTGTTGAAAAAATTCTTACAAACATTTTTTAGACTATTTTTTATTTTCTTTTAGGTTGTTCTTTTGGCTCTTAGTAGGTGTGAAATTTTGGAGAGTTGATTCTTTTTAATTGCTCTTATTTAACGAACGATTACAGTTCATTTTCTTTCTTTTTTTTAGGTTGTTTTGGGTCATAAGATTGATAAAGTAATTTAGTTTTTTTTTCTTTGACGATTTTAATGAATTTTACTAAAGATTCATTTTTTTTTGGTTTTTCTTTTAGGTTTGCTAAAAGTGAAACTTGTACAAAAAACTAGTAGTCTAAAATATCTGATGGCAGATCCTGGATATACTAATTGGTCCGCCAGTTTATTAGTAACCAGGTGATAAAAATAGTTATCCCTATTTCATTGTAAATATATCACAAACTTCCTTACTGCACGATCCGCAAAATGCAAATCAGGGGAGATTTCATGTGCGTAATGGAAAGATATACCAGAACTTTCGGGAAAAACATGACGAATTACGCACGCAATTAGATCACAAGACAATTCCGGTTTTAATCAGTCATCCGCAAAATGACATTTTTTACTAATTAAAAGTTGCTAGAACGTTCAGGAAAAAATGATTACCAAATTAACAATATTGATTTATAATATTAATTTTAGCTCATAATGACGTTTTTTTATACATCAATTACATCATGATTGTATAATTATTGCGTATAAGCCACATTCGCAGTAATTCATCTTTAAAAGGTATTAATTAAATTATATTCTCAAGAAAACCACAACACAAAAATTACACAAAAGAAATATTATAAAAGGTGATGAAGAAGTTTCCACCTTAAAAAAGATACATTTTTTATAGAAAATTGACTGATAATTTTTTTTCATAATTGTATTCAATCCTTGACTCACAGTTCGTAGCTGACTCACAGCTTGTAGTAATTATTCAATAGTACCTCACAAAATCGTTAACTTTCGATATCCTCAAGTTGTATATCTGGGAACAAAATAATATTCTTAAAGACCTTACTAACGACGCTTCCAAACTGAATCTTTGGTATGTTGATGTCAAAGAAGTTGTTGTTGTTTTTACTGGACGATATTGTACGAAAACTTGGAGGAAAAAAAATAAGTCCTTTAGAAACTATTTTAATGGTCAACTTCCAGAGGGGAAATCCATATAATCATAACTGCTGGTAAGTGTCTCGCTCTTTTAGATAAGAAATTAGAACTAAAAGATCAAAAGATTGATTAGTAACTAAATATTTATTATTATAAATTAAAATACTGCTTACAGGACTTACCATCTAGACTACCCAATGGTTTGCCTTTCGAACAAGAAATTCGCAGTAACAAAATATCAATTTTAGCTACTGGACAAAAATGAACCGCAGATCCAGGTATATTTTTGCCACTAAAAAATCGCTCAAATATATCACTTTCATTACTAACGGTCAATGACATTCATCTTTTTCGAACTATAGAACCTATTGAATCAAAAAAGCGATTAAGATCTGTCATTAATCATCATTTAACTCAAGAACTTACTTTAAAATATATATAATACTTTTTAACGAGTTGTCAGATGAAATTTTGATAAATAAGTAATTGTTAATCAATTAATTTTTATTTAAATTTATATTATGATGAACTTAAAGATTTGATTGGGCAAATTGAATCAAAAAGCGATTAAGATCTGTCATTAACTTTGATGAATTTAAAGATTTGATTGCCGACATTAAAAATCATGTTACTATTGCAGAACTTTATCCCAAAACTGCAAAAGATATTGCTGGCCGTTTCTCCAAAGATAGATCCTGCATACCAAAATCAGTGGTGGAAACTTTTCGGACATGCGCTTGGATGAAACAATATCTACTGCAATGGGTTATAGGCTTATTAAATTATTTGAGAGAAAGCTTTCCATCTTCTTTATGCAGTTTCAGTGCTGGAAAGACAAGATCCATTTTCGAAATGGCCATGCACAACAAGATCTTCGTAATATATATGGAGTGTTGAAAATCGATGGATGAAAATAGAGCCTTTTTAGATCCAACACCTGATATTAACTTCGCGGAACTTGGCAAAAGAATAATCGAAATTCTATCCCTGATCCCAGCTAGTTAGAAGTGCAGAATATGACAAACTTGCAGATCAAGCATTGAAGTTTGGTTTTTTTATTCGTGAAAAGTTCTTTGACTGGATTTCATCCATTTCGGCGGAACTTTTATCAACTCAAACTCTCATCAATCTGATATTTCTTACCGAAATCGGGGTATAGGTAATTTGAAATATGAATAACTTTATAGTATAGTTACAGACTTACAGTACATGTATTTTAACAATATGTATGACGATATAAATCTGTCTGTATCCCTACAGGAACTGATGCTACACCTTCAGCTTTGATGACAGAATTAAAAAAAATTTATGATGATTTGCCCACAAGAGCGCATGTGTTTTGTGATACTCTTGCCACCAATGAAGCAAAAGCAGCTTATCTTGTGTCGATTAAAGTCCTTTATATTGTCCTCCTTCTTGAAAGAAATGAAGGTAATCTTACACCACGTGACTATCTTCTTATGCAGATTGACAGTAGACAAACATGCATTGCAATGATTAAAACGTATTAAAGTTCTTTGAAATGAATTAGAATCAGTTTTGAGGATTGCTTTAGAATATTACTTGGTAAATGATTTATTAATGTCTTTGCTTTTGCATTGTAGATATTCCACTAATCATGTTGTTCTCTAGAGTTAATTTCATACCACCTACGCAATATGGACACCAGCTTCCTTGTTGAATACCATTGGGAACAGCTTCCCATCTATGCTTATTTTCGCAAATCCATTCTAGCTTGGCACGCGAGTTATAATGGTAAGGCAATCCCATTTTTTATTTGCAAATATTACGTAATAACTAATTTTCTTAAACCAGAAATTTTATCATTGATTTATCTTGATGCAATCATAATAGTGGTCTATTAGCACCATTGGTAATATTTCTTGACAATTGCCAAGTTCCAATCGTAATTGCTGGCGCTTGAATATGGAAAAAGCATTTATAGTGACATTGGCAAGAGGAAAACTCCTGATTATCTTATTGAAATGTTAACAGATCTTACCTAGAACGTTTTTTAAATTTACCTGATTGTAATCTCAAGGATATTGTAGAGCTTAATACTTTATCGATATTGTATTCTTGCATTTGCGAGATAATAAAGACAATCTGAACGGCAATAAAGCTTCATCTTTTTTTTTCAGACAGTAGCTTGATCGTGACACTTTGTCACAGCCTTTCATAACCTAAAATTTTG